TCTAGTTTTTAGTACATTGTTAGGCTGAAGTTTTAGATACTCTCTCTGACTGTCAGGGCATCCTGAGTTCACTGTAGGTCACTCCTGGTGTTACCTCTTGAGAATTTGTAACAGGTTTTCCTTTATAAGCTTTGATATCATTAGCATTTTTTGCTTATTATTTCCTGTACATTCCTCCTCCTCAGTCAGTCACTGATAGCCTATACACACAATCAGTCTTTGTAAAAGTGCAAACAGTATCTTATAAACAAGAGCATTTGTAGAATGATTTTTATTAAAGTATGAAGACAAGTGGAAAATGTTGTTTGAGGTCAGCCTTGCTCAGCTTGGTTCTTAGTTCTTCAAGGTTTTTTTTCTTTTTTCGGAACACATGAGCACAGCCCTTTCTGCTCAAATCCTCTGAGAAATCTACCTCCCTTCCCTAAATCTGTTATGTTTTCACTCTCAGCTCCAGATTGGAAGTCTGATTTGGCTACCTCAGATTCAAGGGAACTAAATTTGTTACATTTAGTTCTTTCTAACCTTTAACTTTATGAGTCTCCCTTCTAACAGAACCCCAGGGTGAATTCTAATTCTGTCTACAATTTTCTTGTTTCTCCTGCTCACTTACTCGTAATGCCCCCTGATGAGGTTGAAGATAAGCTACCTCAAAGTATAGCACCTTGCCATGTTGGATATTTTAACCTGAAGGAGTTTGACAAAATGACAGAAGTGAGGTTACTTTGATATGTTTTCACACACCACCCTCCCTCTCCCCACCTCACTGCTCTACTTTCCTGAAACTGGTCTTAAGACACTCATGTGAGAATTACTCCCCCTATATCTGGAAGAAACACCCTTATCTCTGAAGATAATCAAGGATACAAATTCAAGATGTCAAGATCTATTTGCTTAGTGGTTCCCAAATGCTCATCTTTTTTTTTAAAGATTTTATTTATTTATTTTTAGAGAGAGGGGAAGAGAGGGAGAGAAACATTAAAGTGCAGTTGCCTCTCTTGCATGCCCACAACAGGGGACCTGGCTTGCAACCCAGGCATGTGCCCTGACTAGGAATTGAATCAGTGACTCTTTGATTCGCAGGCCAGCACACAGTCACTGAACCACACCAGCCAGGGCCCAAATGCTGATCTTAAAATTGCTGTCAAAATCACTACGTGGAAAATAGTTTGAAGTACTTCTTTTAAAAAATACCGATCGCTGGGACCAGTCTCAGGGATTCTGAATCAGTATTTTTGGAATGAGTTCTAGTTATCTGCATTTTAAATGTTGTACTGGTGATTCTGATGTGCAGCCAGGATTAGAGACCACTTAGAAGACTGTCAAGAGTTCTTTCAGCCCTCTAATTCTGTGATTTAAGTATGCAAGAAGTCTTCTTTTATCTGCACCTAACCTTACACAGGAGACAAGCAAAATGATCATCTTATGTTTTTCCCTTTTGGACTTCTTAAGGACATTTCCATACTAAAAGGTTATTATTGTCATTGTTATGGCTTTACTGGTAATGTGGTGCCTCTGCTTAAGACTTAAATTTGTAACATTTGTACTTATAGCTAAAGAGTCTAAATTCAAGCTAAGCAAAGGTAAATACAGTCAAGGAATAATGTGAATGTACTGAGGTAGATCTGTGAGTTGTTTATTTTCACGGGCCCATTTTTGTGGGCCATGGATAAATTGTCTACCATTCATCATAAATCAGTATGAAGTTAATTAGCCATTCCTCCTATTTGCTGCTGCAGAACTTAAAGCTCCTTCCTGAGTTATGGCTTTGAGAAGGTAATACAAATACAGATATAGAAGTAAGCTGCAATTTTGTAGTAGAGGTAGAAAGATTTGGAAATGTTAATATTCTTAAAAGAATATTTGATTTGGCCCTGGCTGGTGTAGCTCAATGGATTGAGCGCGGGCCTGCGAACCAGATAATCGTGGTTCGATTCCCAGTCAGGGCACATGCCAGGGTTGCAGGCAGGTTTCCCTGCAGGCCAGTTCCCAGCAGGGGACGCATGAAAGGCAACCATACATTGATGTTTCTCTCCCTCTCTCCTTCCCTTCCCCTCTAAAGATAAATAAATAAAATCTTAAAAAAAAAAGAATATTTGATTTGGGTGGAGAGGGAGCTGTTGATTTTCCTAGAGTCTCTGAAGAAGAGTGATGTGAATAACACTGGGAAAAATAGCTTCTTTATATAGGTGGTTCTTAAATTGCATTATTTGGTATGTTTACCATTTATTTACTTGACTTGTGCCCTTGCACCAAAACCAGGAGGGAAATCTGTCTTAATAAAAGACTTAGGCTCTGGCTGGTGTGGCTCAGTGGATTGAGCACCAGCCTGTGAACCAAAGGGTCACCAGTTCGATTCCCAGTCAGGGCACATGCCCGGGTTGTAGGCCAGGTCCCCAGCAGGGGACACATGACAGGCAACCACACATTGAAGTTTCCCTCCTTCTCTTTAACCCTCCCTTTCTCTAACAATAAATAAATCTTAAAAAAGAAGACTTAGGTGTAAGAAGCTTGTGAGATGATAAAGGAGAGGGGGATTTAGAACTTAGGTTTTTCTATAGAAATTTCAGGGACTAGCAAACAGGGTAGGGATCTATATTCTTATATAGTCAAGCATGTGAGGTTATACTAGTAAAAACTAGTTTTCATGATTTCCTCTACTCTGGAAGTTGGGGTTTTTCATGAGAACTTTTAGTCCCCAAATAAAAGAGCATAAACATTATGTAAATGATGGATCTTTCTCCTTTTCTTTCTTCAACTTGGTATTCTTTGATTTAAAGCCTTAAACTATATTGACGAGTTAGGATTAATTTCAGAGCTTCTTTAAAATGCAAAATGTAACTTGATTTTTGAATGTTTCATTTACATACTTTTAGGAACCCATTTGTTATAGAAAGCAAGAACAGCTGTATTCTCCCTGGGGTTGATTGTTTAGGTCAAATCTTTATAAAATATGAATTAGGAAGAGTAGGATTTAATTTTTGTTTCTTACAACAAAAATTTTTGTTATAAAGTTAATGAACGTACTTCCTACTTGAGAGTGTATCAGAAAGTACATACTGTTTTTTTTAATCATGACATATTTACAATATTTACAGTTGTTTTGTAGTTACAATTTGTTCTTTTTGCTTTTCCAAATCTGCTGAATTTAGAAAGTTATAGGGAGGTAAATCTGTCACCAAACTCTTTGATGAGTTTTTTTTTTCTTTCCTACAAGGTACTAGAAAGACAGGAACCATAATCACCAAGAGTAGGAAGAGAAGTACCTTTGGTTTAACAGCTATGTAATAGTAATGACAATGAAGTACAATGTCTTCTTTGTGAGAAATAGAACACCAAGAACATCAATAATGATAGTACTCAGAATTTGAAGAACATGTTATAACAAAATGTGAGCATTAAAAAGGTATTTCCAACCTACTGAATATCTAGCCTATTTTTAAAAGCCTATATGGGAAGCTCAAGATACATTTGTTTCATGTGGGTACTCTAGGTAGGTGGGGATAAGAAGTACCTTGCACCAGTCAGGGCACATGCCTGGGTTGTAGGCCAGTTCCCAGCAGGGGACACATGAGAGGCAACTATACATTGATATTTCTCTCCTTCTCACCTTCCCTTCCCCTCTAAAGATAAATAAATTAAAATCTTAAAAAAAAAGAAGTACCTTGCAACATCAAAGAGACTATTACATAGAAAGTGTACGTTTTAGAATTAGAAAAAAAATCCAACCAAGAAAAATGAGAAAACTTATAAATCAAGCAGGCCATGTGTAAACTTTATTTAAGTAGGTCGTAAAAAAGAAAAGTTGGTGAAAAAAGATTAAGGTGATTAAAAGTTTTCAAGTTACTCAAAATTAGTCAATTTGTGAGAGAAAAAAATAAACTTTAATGATCACTTTGTCTAATAAATGAATATATAAGGGAATGTGCTGTTTGTCTCCTGAAATCGATGACTAGATAAAATCGTAAATGAACAGGTGATCCAGATCCAAATTAAATACAGATAGCTCACAATAACTAGATAGAATTCTCCTATAATTTGAAGGAACTCAAAATAGAGTTTTAGATGTAGAGTAATAAGGCACTTAAAATATAAAATAAAACATGCCTTTTGGGGGGATTTGGAGATCTTGTGTTTCTACTTGAATAGGAGTATATTGAATACTCAGTAATATGAGCATAAGTAACCATGTAAAGGTTGTCTTTGAATAAAATTTCAGTTAAAAATGTATATGATTAGATAAAGGATAATTCTAAGTCAAGAAAGGATAGGAATTTATAAATCTAAGTCATACCTATATATGTGTTAACCTAAAAACCTATACTTGACTTACTCTCAACTGCCACTATAAGTTGTGAAAGTTCAACATATTTCCATTTCTTATGAGTATCAGCAATTATGATAAAGGCATAGAATCTTGTCTCAGCCATTGATGAGAACATTATATGTGAATAAAATCTCAAGTAAAGAAAAGAAGTAGACTCATAGATTATTAAGTCTTTGGTTTCTGTGGTGTTTACATGGTGATTTAAAAGTGTAAGTGGGGTGATTGAGATGTCCAAGTTGGAAAGATAAAAGGAGAATTAAAAGGTAATATACTGCTGGTGGAATGTTAGAATTTTTAATGATTCACCTACCTATTGCTTAGGCTAGGAATTCCTCCACTATTGCTACCATAGCATTAATGTGCAAACTATCTATAACCAGCTACTTTATTGTGCAATGTGTCTGGCCCTTTGGCAGGCATCAGAGGTAACATTCACTGTGTAGGGCTTTTTGTGATAGCAGGATCAGCTAAGCCCAGTGAGTGTGGGTGATCCAGTAGAGTATGAACTAGCTGAATATCGGGGATTGCTGTTGTTCTAACAAAGCACATATGAAAAGTCAAGGAAATTGGTATGCTTTTAAAAATGTGTTAATGTCCTATATGATTTATTTTTCATCATTTAAAAATTGATGCAAAACATTTGTGTTCTTTTCTTTCTTTCTCTCCCATCTTTTAGAATAATATAGCTGATCCAGAAGAACTGTTCACCAAATTAGAACGCATTGGCAAAGGCTCCTTTGGAGAAGTTTTCAAAGGGATTGATAATCGTACCCAGCAAGTGGTTGCTATTAAAATCATAGACCTTGAGGAAGCTGAAGATGAAATCGAAGACATTCAGCAAGAAATAACCGTTTTGAGTCAGTGTGATAGCTCATATGTAACAAAATACTATGGATCATATTTAAAGGTAATATGTGTGTTATATTATTAAGTCATAATGTATTGTCATTATGTTTTTCTTTCTTTTTTTAATTCTAGTTTTTTTAAAGGCGATGTCTTAAATTAGGATTTCGCAGTCTTTAGTCTCCAGACAGAATCTAGCTCCATTTAGGGTGCCAAATAAACTGTAGATTTAGCAGCTGTATCCTCAATGCATCCCAGTACTCATCTGTACCATTTTATCCACACCTGAACTTTTGGACTGATGGAAGAACAGAGGAGCAGCTGGTTCTTGAGACATATGCTTTGTTGGAAAGGAGCTTTTCCCCTGTGCTTTCACGCATTATGCTTAGGGTCCAGTCTGTTTCAACCTTAGAATTGATAGAATATATAAATGTGTCACTTATTCCATTGTGGATGGTGGTTATTTACACATCTCCCTCTCCTTTTAAAATATTTATTTTTATTGATTTTTCTATTACCATTTATCCACCTTAAACCCTCTTCCACCTCCACCCATCCTCTCCCCCTGACCCTCCGTAATCACCACACTATTGTCCATGGCCATGAATTCTTTCTCTCTTTTTTTTCTTCATGGGAGGAAGTTTAGCTCAACCAGTCTTGGTTTTTACATCACTTAGCACAGAGCATGGCACATCTTAAGTATGCAATAAATATCTCTTCAAATGGAATTAAATTGAATAATACATGTTTCTCCCCTCCAAAAAAAGTTGCATTTTTAGTTTTAGGATCATGGAATTAATAGACACATAAAGTTTCAGGAGATGGAAATGTTACTGCATAACAAAAATACTCTTTGGTTAGTAAAGCTAAGAACTCTTGGACTCCAGAGTTAGAAGTTCAATTTGTGTCTATTGAATGTGAATCATAAATAGTTAGAAAAATCTAGCTTAGGTTTGAGTTTCAATTATTTTAAAATGAAAAATGTTTATCCTAGTGTTGAATTTTCAAAGGAAGACACTATTAGTTATATCTTTGCTTTCCAGGGTTTATGGGGATGGGAGTTGTTCAATTTTTTTTCTTTATTTATCTGTAGGTCAAAGGGGGTATGTTTATACCTCTGAAACTGTTGGCCTGTGTAAAAATTAATGTTGTCTTTTTATGTTCTGCTCACTAAAAAAAATTCCTAGGATAATCTGTCTATATTAGTTAATACTGATTTAGAAACTCATCATCAATTTTCCTGCCTTTTTACAAAGTTTGATTTATTCTAATATTACATTAATTAGATGATTGTGGAAAGAATGAATCATTAAACAGCCAAATAGTCACTACTTTCTTAGATGCTGAATGTAAAAATGAACAACCCACTTCTGTCATTAAGTAACTCATAATCCCACATTTCACTAAAAAAGTGCAGATTTTATGATTAAGTATGTACAAGGTACAAATAGAGCACAAATAAGCAAGTTGCCACTTCTAGCCTTGTTTTGGAGGGGTGGTGGTATTAAGTCTTTAGGAAAGGCTTTAAAAAATGCTTCTGCTGGAAATTTCTGTTCAGTTTCTTCTTAGGATGAGCCATTACTCCATTTTACTATATACATGATTATTTGATTATTCATAACATATTTACATTCATATTCTTTCCTAGAAGGTTTATTTAGCAGTAATATTCCTCTGTAGTAACACTATGGTCACTCAAGCTCACTAATTTGAGGTCCCCTTCCTAGTTACCATAGTAGACTTGGTTGTAGGAAGCCCCAAGAATTTCTTCGTGTGTGTGTGTGTGTGTGTGTGTGTGTGTGTGTGTGTGTGTGTGTGAGAGAGAGAGAGAGAGAGAGAGAGAGAGAGAGAGAGAGAGAGAGAGAGAGAGATTTGTTTGCTCATTCTGCTTTATTCTTACTGGATTGAATCCTGGTAATTGCAGACCCACTCTGGAACAGACCTGAACCCTTCCTATTTTTAGGCATGTAACAGATAAGCTACTTTTGATAACTAACTTAAAATATTAAATAAGCCCTGGCTGGTGTAGCTCAGTGGATTGAGTGCGGGCCTGCAAACCAAAGGATTGCTGTTCAATTCCCAGTCAGGGAACATGCCTGGGTTGCAGGCCAGTTCTCGGCGGGGGATGATGAAAGGCAACCATACATTGATATTTCTCTCCCTCTCTTCTTCCCTTCTCCTCTAAAGCTAAATAAATAAAATCTTTAATAAAAAGTAATAAAATAAAATATTAAATAAGCCCTATTTAAAATGAGTTATTTTATATTATATTTTAGATGGGTACTGAAACAGTATTGACTGTTTTATTGGTTACTTATAGCTTTTGTTTATTCATGTTCAGTACTGTCATGGAAAATGAGTTATAGTTCTGTTTGTATTATATATTCCTATATATTCTTAAGATTTCACCTTTAAAAAATTCTCCTCATAATATACATGTACCATTCATCCAATAAGTAGTTAATTTTTAAGTAAATATGACTGATAGTTTTTGTCCAAATCTTGACTATAGACTAACTAACTCACACCAGTCAGTGATACAAAACTATTAGCTAACATGTCTTAACCCTGAAGAGGTCATGGCTGATTGGAGAGATATAAACAAACTCTTTCCTTAAATACTGTTGTATATATCAGGTATATAGGTTCAAGGTCATGACTAGCTGTGTGTTTGTATGTGACTAACATAAAGCCATAATGTTTAAACCATCAGTTTGGTTATAACATGTGTTTTGTAAGCATGTGATATTCAGTAGTAAGTTGTATTGGGTTGGCCAAAAAGTTTGTTTGGGTTTTTCCATAAGTTGCCTCTAGTAGCACTGACTAGTCTTTAATTTCATTCAAAACAATTTTGTTATTTTACATTGTGATAGCTGTCATATCAGCATGTATTAAAAACATAAAAATTGGTAATTTTTGTGTAGTCATTTTAATATCAAAGAAGGAAGAAAACATGCAACATTTTCAGCAAGTACATGTTATTATTTCAAGAAAGGTAAAAACTCACTGAAATACCAAAAAAGATTTGGGCAGTGTATGGAGAAAGTGCTGTGACGTACTGAATGTGTCAAGTGATTTGTGAAGTTTCATGCTTGGATTTCTAACTGAATGATGCTCCATGGTCAGGTAGACCGGTTGAAGTTGATAGCAATCAAATTGAGACATTAATTGAGAACAGTCAGTGTTATACCACATGTGATATAGCTGGTATACTCAAAATATCCAAATCAATAAAGTTATTGGTAAAAGTGAAAAATGTATCTTTTAGTTTATGGGAAAAAAGCTAAACAGATTATTTTGCCAATCCAATACCTGATAGATACCGTGAATTCTGAAGTCTCAGTTGGTGTAGGTTTTTTTGTTTTTTGGGGTTTGTTTGTTTGTTTTGCAAACTTTGAAGTCAGTGTTTTGTTTTGTTTTTTATCATTGAAAATGGTTGGAAAAGTATATCAATTCAATAATCCAAGAGATACTGAAGAATTTCAAGTGCTACTTGAGTTCAATGATGAGAATTATAGAGCCAAATGTGAAAATAATTTAGAAGATGAAGATTATGTGGAAGTTTGTTGAGAAGATTTGGATAATGAACAAGATGTTTCTAGTGAAGAAAGTGAATTAGGCATAAGTGAAGAGTATTGTTTTGGAAAGGATAAAAAATCAAAATGGAGGAAAGATCCAATATGAAGACAAATTCTAAAACAGTCACAGAATAATATTTTGTGTCAACTTCCATTAGTTCATCCAAATGCAAAAAAAATGCCAAGACAACTTAAAGCTTGGAACTGCTTTATCACAAATGATATTTTAGATCTAATCTTATTGTATACAAATAAATACATAGATTTTATCTTGAGTTAGTTTTCATGAGAAAGAGATGTTAAATGAATAGATAAAACTGAATTGAAAGTATTTTTAGGCCTCATATCTAGCTGGTATACATCTCAGCAATTATCTAAACTTGCAGGGCTTATGGGCTACAGATGGTATTGGGATTGAACATTTTAGACTTATGATATCTGTATGGAGATTTAGATTCATTCATAATTGTATCAGGTTTGATGACAAACTTAACCCCTTAGAACACCTGAAAGGGTACAGATTACTGACTATGAGAGACATTTTCTCAGTATTTGTAGAAAATTATAAATTATGTTACTCTATGAGAAAGAATGTAACAGTAGATGAATGTTACCTGGATTTAGAGGCAAATGTGGGTTTTGATAATATATTCCATCCAAGCCCAGTAAATACAGTATATATTTTTTGCTAAGGTCTATTCAAAAGTATTTTACACGTGGAATTTTGAAATATATGCCAGTAAACAGCTGAAGATCCTTACTTGATTTGTATAATTAACCAGCAGATATAATCAAGAGACCTTTAGAACTTGTTTACTCACCAGAACATAATATTACAGCAGATAACTGGTTCACTGATACAAATCTTTTCTCTAACTTGTAAAAGAAGAAATTTTCATTTAGGTACTGTTCATTAATAAACCGTAACTACCCCCTGAATTTGTGTCTTCTAAAAACAGGTCTCAAAAAGCCAACTTATTTGCCTTTGGTGGAAATTACACATTTGTATATCATGTACCCAAAAAGGGAAAATGTGTAATTTTAGTTTCAGGTATGCATTTCAATGATGCCATAAATTTAGATTCACAAAAGCCTGACATAATAGAATACTGCAACCAAACAAAGTCAGGAGCTAACACTGTGGACCAAATTATAGTTACATATAATGTAGCCAGGAATACCAGAAGATGGCCTATGGTTATATTCTACACAATTTTGAATATTGTAGCAATAAGTTCTCAGACTATTCATATGCTGAACAGCAATGTCAAAATAAGCTGCAGAACATTTATTAGAAATATCATAACACAATTAGTTTCAATACAAATAAAAAGGCATTCAAAAATATCTACAGGTGTGCATAAGCCTATACACCTGAAACTTCATCAATTTCAAAAGGAAATTCTACTGACAACATAGATATCGCTCCTTTGACAAGCAGAAAAAGAAAAAAATATGTTAGGTGCTATGCATCCAAAACAATTCA